TAAATGAAGGTAAAGTCTCACAGAGTAATTCGTAGACTGACGCTTTATAGCAAACACTTAATTTCCATGGTCTCAGACACAAGGAAACCTGTCCTTCAGATCACAGCATCTTAAGCATCTTACACCATTAACATCCCACGCCTCGGGGACCCTAAAGTCTCGGCTCCAGAGCCGTTTCCTCTGGTGCTGCTGTTAGAGAAGGTGGGCGACCCTGACAGACCATGCGTGTGTGGATAAAAAAAGGCCCGCTTGCTGGCTTCGATGATGGCAAATCTGGATTAATGACAGCCCTGAGACAAAGGACTGTTCACATGAGATGTGCACTCATTTTAGCAAGCTCAGCACACTCAGTCATTTATTGGCTGCCTTATGTGGGGGTCCCATACACCAATGGAGATCAATCAAAACCAAAGTCTGAGATCCCAAATCTGTTCCCCCATGGATATGAGCTTCAAATGAGCATAATAGCAGTGGCCTTAAGTGCACAGGGACGATGACTTCACGGGTCTTATGCTTCTGTTGATCCTACAGCACAGTGAGGCCTTCATCAAAAACTGGAAACACTAACTGTGCTGTCCCATGCCCGAGTCATTTCATAACTGGTAGACAGTTTGACATTCACGCGTCTGCCTAAAATCAAACTGGCATTAAAATAAATGTAGTTATTTTTTTTAATACCAGAAAGAAATCATCATACTCATGGATCAAAACTCATAACTGCAACAGAATGGAAACCTGAAGTTCGCCTCCAATGAGAATTTCATTCATGCTTTCAGCCCCTTAATTTTAATAACCATATGCAAATCTTAGTAACGCAGGCCGCAGCCAGTTCCTAGTCAAAGAAAGAAAGCAGGGTATTTCTGACAGAGAAGAAATCTTAAAAAGCAGAAATAAAGAAAAACATTAAACCGAAGAGGTCCGTACAAAAACTTAGCAAGTGACCATGTGGGCATTGAGTACAAACAGCTACTGAATGCGTATCTTGGTGGCAGGGCTAATGAGACCAGCCATTAACCAGAGAGACTGGAACTGTCATTTCAGAAATGCCAAGACTTTAACAGGTAATCTAAGAGAAGAAAGTCGGCACATCCACAGTCATGCTGGGAATGAGCCACCAGCAACACAGGCTAAATGTGCATCCCCTCTTTATTCTAAAGCCAGAGCCCCTTCATAATCTATAAAGCTGTGATTCCTCAGGGGACAAGACAGCACAGACACCCCCAGATCGTACGACCCACCCCCCCCCCAGTTTGTAATCCACAATGTTCTCTGTTAATTATTTAAAAGTCCATTGATTTCCACATTGATGAAAAGTCCTAATTGTAAAAATGGCTAAAGGAATCGGCCTTTTGACTTTGCTGACTCTGTCCTGTGGAGAGAGACATCAAGTTTATGTATTAAAGCCCATCGCAATAAATAGTTGATAACACAAAAGCCTGCTTGCGCATTTCAAGAATTGACTGGCGTGGCAAGTGCTGCAGGAGGTGTCCTAGGTAACTGTGGCCTCTTTGTTGATGCTAATGGCAGAAGCACATATTACCTGTGGTTATCATCCCAAGTCTGGAAAACATCACCAGAAACCCATTATTCCCAGGGACATCCATCCCCGGAATGCAGGTCTAAACAGAATGAGAAACTCGGCCTCAGTGGAGATCTCCCTGAGGAGATGTGGATGAAAATCAAGCGGGTTTAATGACTTTTATTGCAAATGTTAAAGGTGTTGTGTCTTTGTGTTTAACAGGCAGGTCCTCAGACCCCCATCTGAACACTTCTCACTGAATCCCAGAATAGAGAGGTGATGAAACAATACCTCCCCCAAAGAACCCAAACAAAGCACGTACTTTGGGGAAAATGAAGCAAGATGGGGCAGCTGAACGCTGGCATGGATATGTCAAATAGGAAGTTAATTAAAAGCTGAAGAGAATGGAAACGCCTGCAGTATCTGCCAGTGGAGGAGGCCGCTGACAGGAAGACGGGAGCACACTAGCGCCTGCCTTCAGCAGCCCTCTAACAACCACTGAACTGCTGGGGAGCCGCTGCCCCCTCGCCAGCTTCCCCTCCACAGTGAAAACACACAACCTTAAAGAAATACCTGGTTCACCATGCATTATGAGATCAAAAATGATCGTTCGCTGCAAGTGAAATGAACAGCGTGCAATTCCCATGTCTAACAAAGACAAAAAGAAGAAGCCAAGGGGGCAAGTCTGCATAAGTCACCCGCTGTAGTATCTTAGCCTATGGCAGGGAAAGCCAGGGCACCAACCCCAGGAACTGTGTGCGGTGGAGCTGAAGGGCAGCGTTGCATGGCAGTGTTTAAAGTCCACTGCAAGTCACATTACCTAACAAAGCATGTTGCCAAAATGGCAGATCTCCCAGTCTCCAAACACCTCAAAGTGGATGGCCAATTCTTATTTAATTTATATTCACCATAATTACTTTGGAAAGTTTAAGCTCTAGACCAAAAAATGAAAGGAAGATGAACATGCTGCCTTGATTCAGAACACGAGATAACAGTCAGAAAACTACACGAATACAAAAAAATCATATTATGGCATACAGTGATTTTTCTAAATTGAGAATAAACTATAAATGTCCAAACCTCACAAGTAAAATTATGGTCTATTATGCAATCCGGTTTTGTCACCTGTGATTTTCCCTTAAGATGGCGTTAATGCATTTTCCAATGAGTTTTCTAACTCATTTTCAAAGTACCTCAATTGTTAAAATACAGTAACGTGATGGACAGATGCATGCTGTTTTGATTTAGAGAAATAATTCCTAATGAAAATGGCAAGAAACTTGAAGATAATTAGGAGGACGACAGTATCCTTGCTTTTCCAGGGGTGTTCCATCTCCCACACTCAGAGCCTCTCAGATTCTCTTCCCATTCATGCTGAACTCTCTAGACCAATGTTCTTCACCATTTTAAAGAAAACAATCATATTTGGGAGATCAATATGGCTCAAATATTTCTGCCAAATGCTCCCCAAATCATCTATCACATCCTTCTAAACACTCATGAAAGTCCTTGCCCAGCAACCCCAAAGCTGGGGTATTTCACCACCCTGTTATGGAAGATTACAAACCCCAGTTCTAGAGCAGACACCCCACCCTGGACCCTAACTGAAACCCTGACTTCACCTTCCCCCTGGAAGTGGTCACCAAAGGCCAGGCTGCACCAAGGAAGGGCAACAAAGCCTCGAACAGCTGGAAGTCGTCACACAGTTGTCAAGCTGTGGACTTGAGGAAAGCAGGCCAAGGCTAGGGAATTCGGGATCAGAAACTACACTGATGAAAAGGTGAGTGAAGAGTCTCAGTCATTTCCGACTTGCTATTATACAATCGCCAGTAATAGGGCTGATAGACTTCTGTGCAGTGGGTGCTTTCTAACTTTCAAGAGAAGGAAAAAAAATGTATTTCATGTGCTCCCTGAAATGTGAGCTAGAAGCTATATAAGTACAACCAAGACTCCAAAAGGGGCGTCTTTTGGAGTTGCTACATCGACCACGACATGCAGATGGGAAATAGTTCCTTAAAGTTACACAATATGCTCACTCCTTTCAAAGCAAAGACAAAATACACAGGCTATGTCACAGTCCGGAGCTTGTCACATAAAACATCTGACAAGCAGGCAAAAAAAAAAAAAAAAAAAAAAACAAAAAACAGAATACGGGCAACGCTGAACCAAGTTAAAAGAAGACCAGGGGAAAAGGCCATTCCTAAACACGGAGGGTCACTGTCTTCTATAAAGGCATATGAATGCAGCAAGTTTTATCAACTGATTAAAATTCAGCAAACTTCTTCCCACTCTAAAGGTGAACAGTCTTCCCCACGGTTTCAAGGAAGCTAGTGCCTGGCATTTTTTTTCTAGCTGGTATACCTTGCCATCTATTGTTGGGTGGTACTTTATTACAATATTTGAATTTCATGTGACAAACAGTTTCATTTAATGCCCCGAAATGCTACTCTCTGAAATGGAATGCCATAAATAAAATATGGACTTGGTTACCAGGCAGCATGCTCAACACATATGGTACATTGGCCCAAAAACCACATTTTAAAATGCTTTAAAAGTTAACTTAACAATGTAAGCTGTTTATACCCATTCGCAGAGAATAGTCCCCTAAAGGCCAATCTTGTTTTCTATTGTCAAGGGAATATCTGGATTTATTTGCTTAATTTGCTAACTTGAAATTCTCTTCACCCACTCTGATCTCCACCCCCCCCCCCACCCACCCATTCATTCTTTATCTTAGAGGGGAGAAAAGAGGGCCATATATCTCGCGGTGCAATTTTAGGCATCAGGCTGCCTATTTGAATTAAAATTGATGCAGCTTCTGATAAAGCCTAATAATCAATTCTCCATTCTCATTACGCCAAGGAATGGTATGGACGCAAACTGATGTCTTAAGTTTGTGGAGCGCGCTCCTAGCTTATTACCGGGCAGTGAGGCTGAGTGGAAAGATAACCACATTCATTCTCCTTATCTGTAATGATGTAATGCACCCAGCCCCGGGTCTAGATGATTGGGGAATAATGGGATTGTACAACCGCAGGGATGACAAACAATGCTGCTGGTATCTCTCTGATACACGGAACCCCACGACTCCTGTGCAAAGAGGAGGCTCAGAAAAGAGGCGCCCGATTCTGCCCCTTGGATGAAGTTAGCATCTTTTGGCCAGGGAAGCATCTGCTCTCGCACTGAGACAGCAATACCGACAACTGAGAGGAGAGCCATGAAAACACAGTTTCCCAGCCGCAGCCAGGACAGTGCGAGTGAATATCCTGCTTTTCTTTGTGTTTAGAATCAAGTGTCATCTAAAAATAACCGGTTGGTAGGGAGAAGTCACTGCACAGTACAATGCCAAGACCTGGAGATCAGACACTACTTAATGACTGATGCAGCCCAGGGCTCACGTTTGTTGGGGAAAAAAAACTAAATATGCCTCCATTTTCTGTGCTAGAAAAATCATCGCTGTCTGTCGCCACAGAAACCTTACCTTTTGCAGAAGCTGGGAACCCGAGTACTTGGCAGCGATGGATTTTATCTCCCCACCAAAAGCGGAGGCCCACAGCTTCACCCTACAGGGAGAAAGAGCAGGGGAAAAGAAATGTAACACCGTGTCACCGTCACACACGCACACACCGGACTGTGGCTGAAGGAGCAGGACGATAGAACATTAAAGAAAAATGGAAATAAAGATAGAAAAAGCACTTTCTTACAAACTACCAGCTCCAAACTGCAGAGCGTAGTGCGGGAGGAGGTCGGAGGTCCTTGGAGTTCAGAATGTGTAAAGTCTCCCTGGCTCTCTAAAAAGACCACGGGTTTTCATGGAACAATTGTCCGGTTGCTCAAACACCTAAAATGAGCATCACCTGGCAAATACTACTCTGAAGAAATCCACCCTTCCCCCGCTTCCCGGAAAAGTGAAATGGCAAGGTAACAGAAAGGGGGACCATTAAATGGCCCATGGAAGTTGCAGAGGGTAAACAGGCTCTAAACTTGGTGCTGTCACTTTAGGTGAACCTCTCCAGGTCTTACTCTACAACCCCAGGGAAGGGGCGAGAAGGTCCCACCCGGGTCTCGCGGTTTGGTGCCTTTGCTGGGAGGCAGGTGCAAGAGGCGAGGCCCGTACGCACCTCGGGTTCTGCCTAGCGGCACCTGCAGGCACCCAAACTTGGGCGCCCCGGGTCTCTCGGGCGCCGGCAGCCCCTCCCGGGGAGTCCCAGCACCAGGCACTTACACGGAGAGCGGGATCTGCTGCTCCGAGCGCACCACATCCCCCAGCACCGCGTAGAAAAGCGCCGCGGCTAGGAGCGCCGAGGCCCCCCGGGACGCGCAGCGCTGCGAGCCCAGCCGGGCCATCCTGGGCTCCTTCCGACACGCCGGCGGCAGCGGCGGCGGCGGCGGCGGCGACAAGAGCGGCAGCGAAGAGCTGCGCCGGGCGGGCGGTGGGCAAGCGCGCTGGGCTGCCTGCCTCGCCGCGCGCCGCCCCGCCTGCTTCTCGCGCGCCGGGCTCACTTGGGGAGCAGGGAAAAAAGGAGCAGGGGGGGTGAGGGGGGGAAGAAGGCGGGGAGAAGGCGGGAGAGAGCGCTGGGGAGGAGGCGGGCGCGGGAGGAGGGAGCGAGACGCGCCTCTTGCCGCGGCTGCTGCCCGGCCCCGCCTCAGCGGCCCCGGGGAGTCCGGCGAGCCGCGGCGGGAGGGCGGGAGGCACCTCGCGGGCGGTGACTGGCAAACTCCAGTGTCCTTGGCCGCCGCGGCTCGTGCCTTGCCCGGCCCGGCCCACTGCGGCCGCTGAGTTCTTTACAACTCCGCAGTCAGCCGCCACCGGCGCGACTCTGGGGTGGCCCCGGACGGTCCCCAGGCCTCGGCGACTGGAGCGGAGTGAGGGTGGGGGCTCGGGAGCGAGCCCGAGGGCCCTGCTGCTCCACACTTAGCCAGTGGTTTCTCTGGTCTGGAGTCCCCCGGGAGGGTCGGGGCAGCGGAGTGGAGGACTGCGGAGCCTAGAGGTGGCCCGACCCCCTCCCCACGCCCTTCGCGCTTCCCGGGAAAGGGGCAGAAGTCAGGAAGGGGGCCGCAGGCGGCGGCGGCGGACCCGCTAGGACTGCGGTGGAGAGCGGGCTGGGGATGGGACATCGGGGTCGGGGTCTGGGGAGTGCACCGCGGCGTGGCCGCCAGTCAGTACTCCAGGGCCGCGGTGACTAGTGCAAAGAGCGGAGGGTGGCGCTGCAGTCCCGGGGCGGGCGCGTGAGTGCTGGGCTGGGGCATCCGGTGGCCGCACAGCCACCTCTGGCGCTCGGGACCACAAGCCCGGGTGCTTAGAGCGTACTGAGGCAGGCCCGGGGTGCGCGGCGCTACGCTGTGCACCCGGGAACAGCGATGTCGGGGCGGGAGAGGGAGGAAACATAACCATCCTAACCGGCAAACACCCTTCATTCTGGGGGTGGTGGCGGTGGGAAAGACTGCTCTGAGCCCGGAGTCTCCCCACACCAGCCCCAGCCAGGGAGGAGGCAGCTGAGTTCAGGCAAAGCGCATTCTGGATGGCCACAGGGGAAACCCCAGGTCTCCCCTTTTGCCATGGCTCCCACCCTTGGAAAAGCCTTGTCCCTCGCCCTCCTACAAGCTCTAGGGTGTGGCTGGGAACTTTGTGGAGCCCTCGCGCGGGCAGGCGGTAAAGACCAGAGTGAGGCTGAGTCATCCTAGCCTGGCGGAGCGCAACTCTGGTAACCGTGGCCGGCTGTAAGCTCCTGACCTCCCCTTGTCTGCTAGTGCTCCAGCTGCCTGGGTTCTCCTTATGTGCATGTTTTTCTGCCTCCGGGACTTTATACATTTTTCCCTGTCTTCCCGCACCCTTGGGAAGCAGGGAACCGAGAAAAAGGTGGACTCTGGCTTCCACTGGGTGGTATCGGGAAAATATTCTGCACAACAGTCTCCGGAAAAGTTATCCTGGCAGCGGATGTTTTTTATTACTGAGTTGGCTGTGAGGGGCTTTTACCGGGTTTTTTTTTTCTGGGTACTGGCAGACCCCGGCTCCCGTGGGCGAAAGGCCAGTCATACACCTACCCAGGGAAACCGCATCTAGAACAGGCCCACCAGGAGAGCGCCAAGTGCACCCCGCCCACAGGCAGTGTCTCTATGGATGACTAACTGGTTATAATGAGTTCTCCGCTTCTGTGAACACCTCCCGCCTATGAAAAACGTGTCAGCCTTTCCCAAACAGAACCAAGCGCAGCCTGACCCCAGGGCAAGTGGTCTGTATGGGCTTTGACACTCGGACTGGGGGCTGAGATAATAACTTTCTTGCCGGAATGCGATAGTTTTCTAAGTGGATGCTTGAATGACTGGATGCGTGGGCACATACTAGCCCTGATTCATAAGGTGTCATTGCCCCCTCTACGGTGGCTGTATGCTGAAAGCCTTTCCTCCTCTCATTTATCCAGTCAGTAGTGGTCAAACATCTTGGACAAGATGGGCACAGTAGGACATGCGGGGGTCGGGGGCGGTGAGCCCTCCAGGCAACCTGCCCTCCTGGGATGTATACACCCAGAAGGACCAGACCTTTCTCAAAAAGCAATACTAAGAAATATGTAACTAGACACTTTGGAAGAAGATCCACAATAGTATATACGGCAGAAACGTACATGGTATGCCCTGATTATCTTGTGCCATTAACTGTAGTTACCTGAGGGCACCAAAGTCGTGACCATGTTTGGTGATTAAGTCATGGTGCACTTCCACCCCGGGACTGGTGGACTCCATGGTTGTTTTACAGCAATGAGAGTGTCTTAACCCACGGAAAGGATACTGAGCATTAGTAACTATTAAGCAAAACAATCTTAGGCAAAATAGGTTCACTTACCTTGAAGATGGATATACTATTTCCTGGTAGCTCAAAAACGATTTAAAGTAGCTGACATTACTATGCCCAGAGCTCAAAGTGGTGTAAGAATCTGTGAATCTGCCACTCGAGTATCTTGTTCCTTTTCACCATAGCATTCAGTGAAGAAAGACCTAGGTGTGTGCTTTTATTTAACAGAGGGGCTTGATGAGGCCAAGAAGGGCTTAGTGACTGGCCCAAAGACCACAGCCAATTAAAGGAGAGTCACCCGGTTACAGACCAGGGCGCTCTGGACAGCCACAGCACCTTCTGCTGTGTCAAATGTGAGATTGCAGGTTTGGACCCTGCTATTCACGGTCAGAAGCAGACTCTTCAACACCCAGCTCTCAGCTGTAGTCCCAGTCCCACCAATGAGGCTGTCACTGGCTGACCAGAACAGCAGTCCTGCTGGCTATGGAGCGTGGGCTTTGCCCTGAAACAAAGAGCTACTGGTGAGATGGGCAGGGCAGGAAGCACGGAGCCAGAAGGGGAGGCTTTTAAATGCTCATGTGTTGCTAGTGTAAGGCAGGATCCTGCAGAAGCACTTGTTCTAAGAGGACCCCTTGCACCACCCCAGAGCTTTGAGCAAATAAGGCTTCTTTGTTTGTCAGATGAGGTTATGGGGGCATTTAGTAAGTAGAACAGAACAGTCACACAAAAGTTTTCTTGTCCCATAAGGGTTTTCAAAGGTCCCACTGGACACTCAAGGAGGAAAGAATTATACTTAGAACTACCAGAATGCAGAGCCTAAATCTACTTCGTCTAGAGGAGCCGCGCATGGTTTTTTAAGAACTGAATGCCACAGCTGTGTAAATGAAAGAAAGGGCTTCCAACCCATACCAAGAGATTTTTGTTTGGTGAGTGGATTGCTGTTTGTTTTCATAAAAACCAGCAACAACAAAATAACCCCACTTCCACAACAGCAGCCAAGTGTCCTCATTCTAAAGCACCGTTAGAGCTCACCGGTGCTGGTTTGCATTGGCCATTTCTGGTTAGTGCACACAGGCACAAACGTGGAATGGCCATTATATCTTGTGTCTGATCTTGCCCAAGCTTTCCACACTAAAATGACTCTTGTTTTTACAATAATAACATTGTTTTAATTAACTTTTTCAGTATTATCAGATCAAGCACCATTGATCTTTAAACTCCTACAACCAATTCTTAATCTCTTGTCCTTTTGCACCAACACTAGATGTGGAAAAGAAAAATCAGATCACAAGTTCAAATTCCTGATATGACTTTCACGTGAAATCAAAATGTACCCATGGTCCTTGGCTCCTCACCCTACTTCCTCTCCAGCCATTTGTCCCTCGCTTGATGTGATCCAACCCATCCATCTGGAGTTCCAATGAAAAGCCAAGTTTATTTTCTTCTGAGGCCTTTGCATATATAGGTCCTCTGCCAGATTCCTCTTCCTCCAGATTGGCCCGAGGTTGCTTCTCACTAACCTGAGTCTCTGTAAAAAAAAAAAAAAAAAAAAAGCCATTGTGGAGAGTGGCTTCGAAAGTCTCTGATAAAACAGAAGTATGCACATCTCGGAGACTTTAGCTTCCTTCATTTCTTTTCCTAACAGTTATCATTACTCAGTGATCAGTTGATTGGTTGACACCCCCTGTGTGTTACATTCTCCCTTTTATGACAGCAAGTGGCTATGTAGGATGTTCAGTGTTATGAGATACAACACACATTTGCTATGTGCCTGGAATCCCTTTCTCCTAAAGGCTTACCTATGCTCCCTAGACTTCAGCATCTTCATCACCAAGACCCAGTACCTGACAAACAGCACTAGACTTGCCCAGATGGAAAGGACCAGGGAAACTGTTTTCCTGAACTGGTCCTCAGTCCCAATTCTGGAGGGAAATGTATAAGAAGGAGACAAGGATGTCTCCAAAGTTAAAAAACAAAAAACAACAACAAAAAACGCATCAAACACTGACTTTTAAGCTCTGGGAAGAAAGCTGCTGGCCACCTTTGGAGCCTTCTTCCTCCATGTGCTGTTTCTAGCCCCATGTGCTGAGGAGACCTCAATGGTGCCAGAAGGTACTCTGCTTTCGGAAGCAGTTGGCCTGTGTCTGAAATACAGCCCCAGGAGAGCACAGCCCCAGAAACAGCCTCAGTCCACCATGCCGGAGCTCCTGCATGAAGCAGATATTTAGGCAACCTTGAGTTGAATTCAACTGGATGAAATGACCGTTTCCAATGTTAAGCCTTCCACTGACCTGGAAGAAGCAGACCCTTGAGCTCCCAACACAGGAAATGGCAGCGAGGGCCCAGGGAGCTTGCTCTATGCCAGATGTGGCCCTTCTAGTTAGCAGCTGTCCCAACTCTGAGAAGATTATCATGGGAAAGGGCAAAGGGCCACCCCTGATGGAGGAAGCTGGGGGAATCTGGCATGGAGCAGCTCTCCCAAGCCAATGGATGCCGGCACTGAGACTGGAGCCAGCTGGCTAGGGACTGAGCTTAAGGGCTCTGTGGTCCTCTGGTCCTTTCCCTACCCACCGTAGCCCATCTCCCGGTATGAGAACAATCACTTAGTGAGCCTTTAATCTTTATTAATGAAATGATTCTGTGTGGGAGTCTGTGCCTGTGCCTGTGTGGGTACACGATTGTGTGTAATAGCATCTAATATGATGCTGCTTGCATGTGTGTGGCTTTGTATGTGTATGTATGGTACACATACATTGGGAGCAGGAGTATCTTTCTGGG